TTTTTTTTTAAGATTGGAAAGAAACCAATATGAAAGAACAAAAGTTCTAACATCTTCCTCCTACATCCGCTGGATCGCCTCGTGTGTGCCCTCACTTTGGATGAACTGAGTCGAAGAGATACTGAGGGCAGAATGGGGCAAGGTTCTCATCTAGAAAGTGAGGCTAATATTTACTTTGTAGGGCTGCTATGAGGAGGAAATCAGATAACACAGTGCTCAATTAACTTTTACTCCCTACCTTTCCGTCCCTTGCCCGAAACTGCTGCTAGGCTGCCCTTTCCAATAAAGCGCCTGGGAGAGAAGAGCCATCAATAATGGAGCCACTTGCTGGCCTAGACTCCTCTTCTCTGCTACAGAAGGAGCCAGCAGACCACGTTTCAAATGTAGTTACTTCCCATGGAAACAGACTGGCAGTTTCAGACGCCTCTCTTCATCTCTCTTCTGTGACAGCTGGACAACTCTTTCAGACATTCGGGTTGTGTTCCTTTGGTTATGAGCTGGCTTTTCATCCCATAAAATTTGTGAAAGTAAAGACAATCCCTGGATCAAAGGATGATGTGACTAAGGCATAAGAAAATGCAGAACTCTGAGTGCAGGCGCTGGGATGCAGAGATCCACTGATGGCTGGGAAAATACAGCCCCGATCTCCCTGGTGGGGAGTCCTGGAGGAGGGGTGAGGGACCACCCAGCCAGGCCCGGACAACCCTGAGGGAACTGATGCTTGCAGGAGGCAGCCCTGCCCTCTGAACACCAGAACAGTGGTTCTCAACTCGGGCTGTACTAGAGTCACCTGGCAGCTTTCAAAATGAGACCAGTACCTGGCCCACCTCAGACCAGTTAAGCAAGGAGCCCTGGAGCGCTGCTTGAGCATCCCCACATTTGTTGAGACTGAAGCGATTCTCCTGTGCCACCAGGGTGGAGATCCACCGCTTATCTGAGCAGAACAGGAAGGTTTGCTCTCTCCTAAATGGACACCTGCACCCCCTCCTGAGGCTTCAAGATCAATTGACTTACCCTTTTTCTACATTCTGAGATTTTCAGCCAGTGAAATAAGGAGCTAGGGTTGGGTTTATTTGCTGGGCTGCAAATGGTCTGGTAACAAGCATCACTTCGTGTTGGCTTAGGCTACTTGGCAGGGAGCAGGACATCAGCTCAGAGAACTCCTTCCATCTTTGAGGTCTGGGGACAGCTTGATGCAAGGAAGACTTTAAAGGCTGCCCCACTCTCCTTGTGTTTTTTCTCCCTTTCCTTCTGCTACATGCCCTAGGGTAAAACCAAACGTGTGGACATATGCTCATGCCTTCTTTGTCAAAAGTCCAGAGTTTTCTAGGCCTCCATGTGGGAACTAGAATGATTTTGTACCCCTTCTTTCCCTCTGTCTCTCCCCATTCCTCTCAATGAGTCCATCAATCATTCTGAACTTTTTGAGAAGAGAGAAAGGGGGAATGCAGGGAGACAAGAGAAGATGCTGCTGGCCTTCAGCAGAGAGACAAGGAAAGACAAATCACCAAAAAAACAAAAAAAAAATGTAAAACAAAACAACAAAAAAGAGACCTGAGGGACATGGCAAAATAAGTTTGAGAGACACGCTGAAACATCACATCTTTAAAGCAGGACAGGGGTACCTGGGTGGCTCAGCTGGTTGAGCATCTACCTTCAGCTCAGGTCATGATCTCCAGGTCCTGGGATCAAGCCCCATGTCAGGCTCCTGGCTCAGCTGGGAGCCTGCTTCTCCCTCTGCCTCTGCCTCCCCCCCTGCTCATGCTCGCTCACTCTCTGTTATCTCTCTGTCTTAAATGAATAAATTTAAAATCTTTTAAAAAATCAAATTAAAATTAAAAAGAAATAAAGCAGGACAAAATATAGAGGATCCTTTGCTTTTTATGGCTGGAACCCAAGAAGGCACCCCTCCCTCCTCTCAGCCCTCATCCCTGCCTTTCTTTGAACAAAGATGATGCTGACATTACACTTCTGTTTGGGAAAAAACAAAAAAATCAATGATCAATTTGGACCTCTTAGGCCAAATCCCCAATGTGGGAATGCAGTCAAAAAAACAACTCCATCCCGGAGAGGGAAATGGATGAAAGCCGAGTGTATCTGAGTATGGGATTAAGGATCACAGGCACTAGTTTTGCATGAACTGCTCTTGTCTTCCTGGGATATGTTTTTTAACGCAGTGATGACAGCCTTCCAGTGGCCGCTGGCAGCATCTCAATATCTTCAGGGATGAGAGGGAAAGGGGTATTTGGGAAGCCTTTTTCCCAGCAGGCTTGGAGGTGATTAGCACAAGTCACGAGCACGGAGGGGGAGGAGGAGGCCACGATGCAGCCCCTGGCTTATTAAGAGTGAGATCCGATGCTGGAATCCCCGGGCAAAAAAAAAAATCAATGACCCAGGAAAACTATACCAGCTGACAGCCCCAGGAAAAGGCTTGAGGAAGAGTTGCAAAGAAGAGAAAGGCTTAAGTAACTTTCCAAAACTCTGCACTGTTAATCTCCTGGGAAGCCCTATACTGTACACACAATGGCCGGGACCCCTGACATTCTGGTACTTTCTCTCATGTGGAAACACCATCCTTCCTCCATCCCGTTCGTCCCAGGGCAAAGGGCTCCCAAGTTCCCTCCACCCTCCCTCAGCTTCAGTTTTTGATGTTTCCCTTGTTTAGAAAAACAAGCAAGTATCTGCACTGTCAAAGGCTGGGCTATTCTTACAAGGCTCTGTAGGGAGGCAGGGGGCACTGTCTCCTTACAGACCTCTGGTTTCTAATCCCTCCAAGTTCCTAAAAAAAAAAAAAAAAAAAAAAAAAGACCAGGAGCACCTGCCTCTTGGAAAGCAAGCATCAGGTTTTGAGGTCCTGGGGTGGGGGGGCGGTTAGAATTACGTGATCAAGATCCACTGCTTTGGCTAAAGCATTCCACCAACCTTCAGACAGTCATCTGCGTATCACACAGGGGGTCCCCAAAGGTTTCAAGCCAAATTGATCAACATCGAAAGACTCCATCCTTCTCTCTGAGCCTTCTCTCACGCTTCCGCAATGCCACACAATATGGCATTTAGGTTTAAACTTGAATGCATCTGTGCTTTGGGAGGATGTAATTTTTTTTTTCTTTCCTTCTTCCTGAAAGGCTCCTTGACACTTTCCCTAGTCCTCAGATCCTTAAAGAGCAAGGCTGATCAGTGTTAAAAATGGGGGCTGCTTGTGGATAGATCTGGTCATATCACCACCTACCGCTGGCTCAGGGAGTTTTCAACCTTGGAATTCAGGTTCACACCGAAAACACCAAAGTAATATTTTTATCATCTGTGTCATTTAGAAGTATATGTATCCAAATATCCCTTTCCTTCCCCCCCCCCAAGATACAGTATCCCTGTTGGAGAGCTCCAGCACCCCCTCTCTTGAGGTTGCTACATACAGACAATTCCAAACCTGGGTGGTAACCTACAGACTGCCCCCAAGTACTGCACCGGCTTCACTAAAGAAACAAACCCCAAGTGTCTATAATCTGGGAAAACAATCTCATGGTTACACCGCAATTTACCTAAAGCAATATTTGTTCAGTTGCAGTGATGTCACCAAAAAAAGGGGGGGGGCTTGTCAGCTTTGCAAAGAAGATTCTTTGCAATATTCAGAGCTGGACGGTGGCTGATTCAGAAGGGCTCACCGTCGCTGAAATCAGCAAACACAGAACTTTTCTAGCAGCCAAGAAAGTTCTATTTAAAAAAAAAAAAAGTCAATAGCACTTGAAAAGCATTTCCCCAGCACATTTACCACAGCATTCTGACCCTGTGGTGCTCGATTTTAAGGACCACGGTTTGCTTGCCAAATAGGCATATCTTGGCTTCCTTTGCGAGGTAGAAACACTGCCTTGATATTAAATATTCAAAGCAAAGAACCTCTGACCTAAGGGCTCTCAGCTAACAATGACATTCTCTGTAAGTAAACTAGAAACCCAACTCAGCTTCTGGTTTGCCAGTGTTCTCTGCCATGTACTAGTCTATTGCACAGCGGGGTGAGCAGTGACTCCATTTACCATGATTAGATTGCAAAAGACCCTGCAGGCAAAAGCCTGGACTTGGCAGTAGATCCCCGGAGAAGGGGGAGAGTGGGGTTCCGAGCCGCCTCCCGGGCCCTGGGCAGGGGCTGGGAAAGGGTGAGGGCCTCCGGCTTCACCGGAGGGAGACCCAGGTCTGTCACAACTGCGAGGACTTTGCTGCTCTTTGCAAAGCGCAGCGGTAATACAAGCATGCGGCTCCTGTAGCCATCATCATCCCGGAAACTTCTCTCACTTGGTGGAGCCACAGCGGCAACCCCAGAGCTGAGATCGGCTGGGTGGGAGAGCGTGGCTGGGGGAGTCTCCCCAAAAGCAAAGCCTCACGGTTTACTGGGAGGAGGACGTCCTGATTTTTTGTAAAGGAGACTGGGACTGGCGGGGGTTGGGGGAGCTGGTACCTTTTGGAGGTAAAGCCAAGACACCCCCTCCCCGCACCCCCCACCCCGCCCCCAGTCTCTGATCTGTAAACTCCTGCTCCTCCGGCCCCTCCCTGCCCGCCCGCGCAGACTTCAGGTCAGACGTCCCCGGGGCCAGTCTCCTTACAAGGGCACCCAAGGGGCCGGCGGGGGCGCAGCCGGACTAAAGCGAGTGGCAAACCAAGCGCAACTCCTCGGAGCACAGCACGTGGATCGTGCAGCGCTGGGCGCGGCGCAGGCTTTGGCTCCAGGGAACACGCATCCGTCAGAGTCGGGTCCCCGCTGCCGGGACCCGCTGCTGGGGAACTGACGAGGTAAACAGCGGGGCGAGAAACTCCAAATACGTTACCCACCCTTCGTCCTTGGGGAGAGGCGGGGAGGGGCTCCTCTGCCATCACTGCGCGCAGCCACCTCTGCGCCGAAGGCTCGCACCAGGCAAGAACACTGGCTCTGAGCGCGCCTCGACTTCACCCAACCCGGCCGCGCGCCCCCGCCCCCCCGCGCGGGCGGCTGCCCCCAGCCCAGGGCTCACCTGGGCGCGCACCGCGGCGCCGGGGGGCGCAGGGCGAGGGAGGGCGCTTCTTACCGGAGAAGTCCGTGAGCGCCGCGATCTCCTTGGAACAGACCAGGACGGTGCAGTAGAAGAGGCGCAGGAGCTGCCCGGGAGGCTCTACCTGCCGGCGGAGTCCGGGATGCTGCGCGGGCTGCGGCGCGGGCGGCGGGCGCGCGTGTCCAGGCAGAAGCATGGTGCCCGGCGCACCCCAGCGCGGGCGGGCCGGGGGCGCGACGGGGGTCCCTGGGCGGAGGGCGGCGTCACATGGCGGGGCGAGGCGGGGACCCTGCACCTCCCGGCTCAGGCTGCGGAGCCTCTCCCCAGCGCAGGCCAGCGCCGGCTCCCCAGCAGAGGGCAGGGGGCGGAGAAGTGGGGCGGGGCGAGGAGCCCCGGGAAGGATCCGCGTAGTTCCCCCCCACACACCCCCGAGAGGAAATCTCCGCTGCCGCCCCGCGGGAGGAAACGGGGGGGGGGGAACCGAAGGGAAAGCGCAGCCTTCGCGCGCCGGGCGGCTGCGGAGGCCGGTCCCTGGCGCGCTGCCCGCCGCGGAGGGCGCCCCCAACAGCGCACGGAGGGACGCGCCACTGGAGCGCCTTCCACGCCTGGGTCCCCGCCCCGGAGACGGCCCGGCACCCCCCGCCTCCGCCCCCCCCGGGCCCGGCCCGGCCCGCGCTGGCCGCGTGCCAGCCTCGCCCTGGCCGCGGGAGGAGCGCGGCCGGTGCCCGTGACGCACTTTGCAGCCAGCGCCGCGCGCGGAGCCCAGGCGCTCCCGGGGCGGGGCCGAGGCAGGGGCCGCGGGGAGGTGGGGACCTGGAGGTGTGGGACCCCAGCACCGACGTCCCTGCGACCCCGCGGCGCGCCTCCTTGAAGAATCACCAAGCACGCACAGTTATCCCCATTGCACGGAGGGGGAGACTGAGGCCCCCGCGCTCTGCCCAAGCCCACGCGGCCAGGACGGGAATCAGAAAGGGTTCGAGGAGAAGCGGGTGGGGGAAGCACCAAGGGGGGGGCGGGATTCAAAGCGGGTCAGACGGTTTCAGACCACAGCCGGCCGGTTTCTTTTCTCCTTGCGCCCACTACGCTTCCTCTGCGTACTGGTTGGTTGTCGGCTGCGCTCGCTCCGAGGATCTGACACCGGCCGGGCATAAGTGGCCCCGAGCGCTAATAATCGGGCTTTTGTTTTAAAATGGGCCACCGCATCTTTCTGAACCTCTCGATTACGCGCGGTGTGACCCAGGCCCGGCCTGCGGGCTCGGGGCTGCAGCGGACAAGTGCGTGGAACCGGGGGGCCCCCAGCGGACCCCGCGAGCGTCCCGGCCGGGCGGCGCCGGCGGAGGGGCGGAGGGGCGGAGGGGCGGAGGGCCGGGCCGGAGGGCGCTCGGCACAAAGTGTTCCCGAACACCGCGGGGAGGCCCTGCCAAGTTCTCGGCGGGCCTGACGCGGAAACGTAGATAATGAGGCCCAAGGGCGGGACCAGGCGCACTGCCCCAGCCGGCTCCCCACTGCACTGGCTTGCGGACGGGACGCCCAGACTTACCTGTGGGACCCCCGTACAGGTGCGCCGCGAGGACCCAGGGGCCCGCCGGACTTGGTGCTCCAGCAGGGGCAAGGGCGGAGCTGCTGGTATTTCTGGCGCCTTCCTCCCTGTCTGTCGGTGGGGGTGGCAAAGGCCAAACCCCAGACACGATGAATTTTAAAATCTATATTAAAAATACTCAACCTCCTCCCAGCGCCTGGCTGGCTCAGTGGTTAGAGCACGCGACTCTCGGGTCTCCAGGTTGTGAGTTCAAGCCCTATGTGGGGTGTGGAGATTATTAATACTTTTTTTTTAATCTTAAAGCTAGGCCTCAACCTTCTCAATAACTTTTGGACATATTAGTGTGCGCTTTTTAGGTCGGGGAAACTGAGATTGGGAAGGTAGGTAAGGATGGCTAGCACTTAGGAGCCATAAGTAAGTAACATTTGCTCAAATATCAGGCCCCTCATCCCATGTGGTTTACGTATGAACTGGTGTGTGCTTGGGGCTGCGGGGGGGGGGTGCAGGGGCTGGGACAGGAAAGGGGCCTTGCTCCCACAGGACTGGGGGCAGTCTCTACTGTCCTGTAGTGTAGGCATAAGCTGGCTTCCACATGCCAGTGTGGGCTCCGTTGCTAACTGTGCACTCCCCTGGTTTCCTTCTCTGTAAAGTCTCAGGCTTGTGACACTTTAATTAGTTGATACAGGTGACGTGGGTAGGACAGGGCCTGGAGCTGTAAATGCTCGGTCAATATTAGACATTATCACAGACAGGAAGACAGTGACTGGAGAATCATAAACTAAAAGGGGCCGCGGAGCCAAAGTGTTGGGTAGCTGAGTGGAAGGGAGGGAGGTGTCAAGGACTTTTTAATTTTTTTTATTTATTTATGATAGTCACACACACACAGAGAGAGAGAGAGAGAGGCAGAGACATAGGCAGAGGGAGAAGCAGGCTCCATGCACCGGGAGCCCGACGCGGGACTCGATCCCGGGTCTCCAGGATTGCACCCTGGACCAAAGGCAGGCGCTAAACCGCTGCACCACCCAGGGATCCCGTCAGGGACTTTTTAAATTAAAAAATTTTATTTTATTGGAGTCTAGTTGACATACCATGTTTTATTAGTTTCAGGGGGACAACATAGTGATGGGACAATTCTTTATATTACAATATGCTGGCCACAGTTAAGTGTAGCCACCATCTGTCACCATTTGTTGTTGCAATATTATTGACTCTATTCCCTATGCTGTCCTTTTCATCTCCATGACTGATTTCTTTTATAACTGGAAGTTTGTACTTCTTAATCCTCCTCACCGACTTCTCTCATCCCCTCAGCCTCCTCCCTTCTGGCCACCACTCATTTGTGCTCTGGGTGTATGAGTCTCTTTCCAGTTTGGTGGTCTGTTCCTGTGTTTTGTTTTAAAGGTAAGATGGATAGGAAAGATGGAAAGAGTTTACCAAGCAAAAACTAGCCAAAGCTAGGTGTTTGGGAGGGTGAACATTTTAGAAAAAGGGATCAGTGGTGTGCCTGGGTGGCTCAGTGGGTTAAGCATCTGACTCTTGATCTCAGCTCAGGTCTCGATCTCATGGTTGTAAGTTCAAGCCCTGTGTTGGAGCCTACTTAAAATTAAGAAAGAGAGAGAGAGAGAGAGAGAGAGAAAGAAAGAGAGAGAGAGAAAGAAAGAAAGAAAGAAAGAGAAAGAAAGAAAGAAAGAAAGAAAGAAAGAAGAAAGAAAGAAAGAAAGAAAGAAAGAAAGAAAGAAAGAAAGACCAGCATGTGTGAAATCCAAAAGAAGCGTGGTTCCATAGAAGAATGGAGAAAAGTCTACAGTGCACAGGCCAGAAATCAAAGGGCAAGGCTTGGTGATGTGAAGTTGTCAGCCAGAGCTCAGGGATACAGAGTGCTCAGCACTTCCATCTTTACCCTGAGACCTTGTGAGCTTTCCCTTCTTTATCTTAAGCCACCAAAAGATTGGTAGCAGATGAGTGAAATGATCATCTGTATGTTGGTAGAGGATTGGTCTGGCTGCTGAGTGTCACTGGACTGGAGGGGTCAAAGGTGAGTCCAAGGATTTTTATACCCAAAAGAAGTGAAGGCAGAGACTCAAACTGGTCCTTGGAAGCCAATATTCACTGAAGCATTATTCATAATAGCCCCAAGGTGGAAACAGTCCAGGTAGTCATCCTCAGATGAGTGGATGAACTAAATGTGGACTTGTATTCACTCATAAAAAGGAATGATTTCTGATACATGCTACAACATGGATGAGTCTTGAAAACATTATGCTGGGTGAAATAAGCCAGGCACAAGATGATAAACATTGTATGATTCCACTCATATGAAGTATCTAGAAAAGGCACATAGAGACAAAAAGTGGATTAGAGGTTACTAGGAGCTAGAGGAAGAGAGAATGAAGGATTTTTTTTAATTTGTTTATTCATGAGAGACACACAGAGAGGCAGAGACATAGGCAGAGGGAGAAGCAGGATCCCTGGAGGGAGCCCGATTCAGGACTCGATCCCAGGACCCTGGGATCACGACCTGAGTCAAAGGCAGATGCTCAACCACTGAGCCACCCAGGTGTCCCAAGGGAATGAAGGATCTTGCTTAATGGGTACAGAGCTGTTGTTTGGGGTAATGAAAAAGTTCTGGAAATAGTGGTGAGGGTTGCACAGCATCATGAATCTAATTAACACCACTGAATTGTACACTTAAAATGGCAAATGCTATAGGTTTTTACAACTTCACAAAATTAATAACGTAGTATTCCAAAACCCATCAAACTGTATACTTTAAGTGGGTCGGTTGTGTGGTACATGAATTATATCTCTATAAAGCTGATTTTTTCTTAATCAAACAATAACAACATCTGAGTAGGTCCAAGAAGATGGGGGGGGGGAGCGTAGCCAGGAGGCTATGGCTGTGCTTTGAGCTGGGGCTTTGCTGGTCCAGAGAGAAGGGGCAAGTGGTCAAACTGGATGGGCACTGGGAGGATGGACGGTGCTGGGCGGCCAGGCTGTTGTGGGACACAGGGGAGAGGAACCCAAAGGACAACTCTCAGCTGCCCTCCTCTTTGCCCCTCTGCTACTTGCTGTGAAGCCACATTTTAGTCCTAATCTGATCTCTTTAAGAATTTTTGCATCTTGGGACACCTGGATGGCTCAGTGGTTGAGCATCTGCCTTCGCCTCAGGTGGTGATCCCAGGACCCAAGATCAAGACCCACATCAGACTCCCTGTGAGGAGCCTGCTTCTCTCTCTGCCTATGCCTCTCTGTGTGTGTCTCATGAATAAATAAATAAAATCTTTTTAAAATATTTAGCATCTTGCAAGAAAATTAAAGAATTCCATTTATCTCCCTCTCTGGATTCCACACTTCCAAGTTCCTTTGTGCCCCAACCAAATGGAAAGGAGTTACTGCCTAGCCCCCATTTCCCTCTCTCTAAATATTATATAGTTGAATGCCTCAACTTTGGGCCACCATAAAAACTCTTAGGGTGGGGAACTAAGAGGAAAGCACACACTCCAAAGAGAGGGAAACTCTTGTAAAATCAACGTGGGGCATGAAGAGAAATGACCTTTCCCACCGAGACAGTTCCCCCCCTGAACTCTTTCTCCTGTGATGGAATTTTAAAAATCACAACCCGTTATAGCCACTTGGTTACTCGACACGACTGCAGGGAATGGAATTGAAGCAGGTACAGTCTGGTGAGGATGAACCAAACACTACAGCTCCTAAAGTGTCACCACTCTCAGCAACCCTTTGAGATAGGTGCTAACCAGGACCAGTGGCACAACTCACTGGCCTAGTGCAAAATGAAAACTTGGGGTTCTTGTTCAAAAATAATTAAGAATTGGGGCACCTGGGTGGCTCAGTGGTTGAGCATCTGACTTTGATTCAGGGCGTGATCCCGGAGTCCTGGGATCGAGTCCCACAATCGGACTCCCTTCGGGGAGCCTGCTTCTCCCTCCGCCTGTCTCTGCCTCTCTCTGTGTGTCTCTTATGAATAAACAAATAAAATCTTTTAAAAAGTAATAATAATTAAGAATT